CATCTGTGCTACTCGAGGCGTTATTTCCCACACTCTGCTCCTGGGAGACTAACTTGAGGCTAAAGCCTCTCCGTAATTCTCATGCTCAAGCCTTTACTACATGGACCATGTCTATGGTGAAAACTGCCCACTGTAGGCCAACTAGCTATAGTCTCAACCGCGTCTATCCTCTTTCTATCCCTAATACCAAGTCTATGACTTCCTTGAGATACATGATTAATTTTTTTCGGCATTTTCGGTTTTACCTTGCTTTTAAACAATCTTATCAGATATTGTTGGTTCATCAGTCCGCACACCTATTCCTGACCTGTTCTTAATTTATATAAAAAAAGAATAAATGCCATCGTAAAAACATTTAGAGTACGAAAAAGGGGTTTACCCAAGTCTTGCCACACGTTAAATTTACCCATCGGATAACATCATCAACAATCAAAGAATTATATCAGGACCTAAGGCTCTGAATTTTATGCTTTATTATGAAATTGTGAATGCATAAGGGGAATATAGAATAAAAATAAATTTTAAACTCAAAAGTAGTAAGGATAGTTTATTTATGGGGATAATATGTACACGATATTTACACATAAAATGATGTTATATATATCTTTCAGGTGAAAAACTTCTTGGCGACAGCTATCTTTCTTAAGATCCATGCTTTATTGTTCTCCAAATTTTTAGTTACACTTCGCTTTTCAATAGCTTTATCAGGTAGTGTAGGTAAAGTCATTGCTACAGGAATAGGTAAATCTGGCTTGTTAGTATAAAAGTATCCACCCTTATTTTTTCTTGAAATCTTATATTTGTTGATATGACGGTTTGATATGGATAGGGAAGATCGAGTAGAGGATGAAGGATCTTCATTTGTAAATGTGGATAAAATGAGCTTCTTGCCGTCTACTTCAATCGATTGAGCCAGGGCATCTTGGCCTCTCCTCTCAGCCGATTTCGATGTCAAAGCAATCTCTCGCTCATGCATTACAAGACTTCTAGTTGAGATAGCTTTGATCTTACTTGAAGCGCCAAGTTCTTTTTTCCAAGTGGGATTATCTCCAGATGTGCTTTCTCCATCAAAAACCTCATTAATTGCTTCGTTATCACTGCAAACATTAACAGGACTGGGCTCGTGTTCCATGAAGAGGCTCTGTCTGGAAGTAGTGACTAAATTTTCTACAAGGCCAGTGGTCGACTGCACACACTTTAAGTAGCCAATTAATCTTTGCTCAGAACTACAAGGGCTGGGAAGGTTAAGATTGATAAGTACAGGCTCCTTTTCTGAAGCCACGTCAGAAACTCGCTCAGAAATGATAACACTTGTTTCTTTTCCACTTATTAATACATCTTTATTAATATTCGGATTCGGATTCGGATTGGCAAGACTTGATAATTCCGTGTTCGTATTTTGGCAAGGCTTCTCAAAGTCATGCTTGCTTTGTTTCACTTTGTAGCCGGATATATTTTGACTGGAATATTCACTAGCTTTGCACGCATCATTTTGAATATAGGTTATATTTTCCTTCTCTAAAATTGAGTGTATCATTACGTCATCTTGAATAAATGAGCTTGTTTTCCTACTGGCTTGTGCAGTCGAATTTTTCACCATTGTGTTTAGTTCATTACCAAGGTCTTTCCTGAATGTAAGGTACCCACTCTCATTCTGAATATAACCGGCTGAACCATCAATTTGGTCTATATTTGGGCCCAAAATTTTGTTGCATTCAATGGCCAAATTGAGATCCCGGGCAAAAAGCTGAGTTGAGCCGGGAGAATATTCAATTTCGGGGCACTCTTTAAAAGTGAGAGCTTGGTTACCATTTAAGGCTTCAGATGAATCCTCAGCAAATTCCTCAGCATGAAAAACAAGCTGGTAAGGAGTCGTGGGAAGAGTGGGCAGTTGTTCTATTGTAGAATTAATAAAATACTGAGACTGGAATCCATGATCATTTTCTGGAATTGAGCATTCTTTTGCAGAGCCTTGGAGACTTGAAGATAAATCAGTCCATTCAGGAATCTTAGTTTCATCAAACCGTTCTAGTTTCACTTGAGCAGCTTCGTTATATAAAGAAAAATCTGGAATACTCTCAAGTTCTTCCAGAGACGTTTCAAGGCAAGCTAAAGATACAAGACAGAGTGAGGCACATTTCAGGGATGAACCCAGATCATCGGAGTCTAAGGAGACTTCTTGCCTAGCTATGTGGCCAAAATTACATTTATTGGTAACGGCCTGAGGCGTAATAACCAGGTCGCCTTCGCATGAAAGGCTACACTGTAAAACATTAAGGTATGTAGGATATTTTGCTTCATGAGATTCAGGAGAGGACAAATTTAGGTCTGGTTTGGCACAATTTTCCACGATGGTATCTTTATTCATAGCTGGGTATGAATTTCCTTGCTTCAATTGTTTTTCAACCGCAGCGAGCTCTCCAAAGAGAACCTCCTGGATGTTGCTGTCACCAATTACAGTAATTCCGCGTAGGGAACTGATAGGGATCAGATGTTCGGAATAGGCCAGAAATGAGTCATTTAATAAAACCTGAAATACGCCAATAAAGTAAAAGGAAATACTGAATTATTTAGTCAAAATTGAAACGACATTTATCAAATTTTAAGAGTAAGTATATCAAGGCAACAAAAGGTTGCTCACCTTTGGTAGTTCGAAAGTTTACCAATATTAATCATCCTTCTTATTTTTTGTGTAAGTAAAATCTCTAAGATGTAAAATAAGTAGGCTAGAGACTAGTAGTAAATCTTATATAAATTGGCTAGTATTTCATTGGATGCTTGATACAAATGTAAGACAAATACATATATTCTATCTACTAAAGATTTTAATATACATATACATATTTTTGACTTATCGTATAGGCAAGAGAAAGTTTTCATGCTTTTTAGCCATAGAAACATGGGATTTTAAAGAAAAGATATAAGAATGATAGAATTAAACTTTACCAGGTGGCGATTTAAGGACTAGAAGTCGTTTCTTTCCAGAATGACGTGAAAATGCCTCATGGATCTATTATATTTCATCTAGCTTTGCCTCCCAAAAGGTTTTTACATCCAGAAAAGACTGAAATTTCGATCTCGCCTAATTTTCATCAGCATCACAAACGGGATTCGAGGTTCGCAAATCGTAAAAATCGTAGTGACACGCTATAATCCCCTGATATAGTCACGGACACCTGTGATTTGTAGGAAATATTACACCTTACGCACCGTTTTCATATCCTCTTAGGAGACTTAGGTTACTAAAAAGATGATAAATTCACAAATGTATAATACTTCATGTCCTTTCGCTGGTCAAACTTGATTAGAAACATCATATTCTTTACATGAGATGTATTCATCCTATTTCGTTTAAGGTGATGAAGGACTTGTAGTAGAATTTTCCCACAATGATATGAGTAGAGCTCACGTTTCCATTGAATTTCATATAGCCTTGCTTTCCCAAAAGTTTGGGTCAAAATACTCGTTAAGAATTTTATAGGACCTTATCAACTATGAATGAGTCAGAAGGTGCAATATTTTTAAAATTTATCGCACCTCATGAGAATACAGGCTCTGCAGCCGGATATAAAAATCAGGAAGCAACTACCACAATTTCCAGTGATCTGGCTGAGGGTACGAGACACCTTCACGAGCAAAGTTTTCTTGACAAGCAGCTCAGGAAAACAAGGATGAATTTAGTCCACTCACGGCAACAGGGACTACAATAACCGAAGAGAAGCTAATTTTACCTATCATACGCTCCTTGTAGTGAACAAGTTTGATTGTAAGGAGACTTGATTCTAGATAATCTGTGAAAGGAGGCATTGCCATAACAAATAAAAGGTAGTTTCAAGATAGGGAAAGATATTCGTTACACGAAGATATGAAGACTAAGATGGGGGGACCTCTCGTCTGGTCGCAGTCTCCATTCGATTTATAGAAGTGGGTTGACCTCGTCGTCGCAACTTGGTCTCGTTGTCAGAACGATTGAGTAGAACTCATTAAGACCTAAGTCTTCTGTCATAGTAGTTATCATAATTTCCAGCATCAGACTGTGGACTTGATACATTCTCAGACGTTCCGCCGGAATCGTAGTCGGCATCATCCGTGAGTCTTGCCATTCTCCTCACCAAGCTACTAACTCGTCAAAGAGACAAGTGAAGTCAATCCCTTGACCAACGTTCTGCAGAAAACGGTTATATTATCATTCCTCTTTCTCTCCTCTTGTTTAGAAAGAAGCCTTTTGCTGAGATAATGCTCAATTTCCAGTATTCTCACAATTACAGGCTAAAGATAGGAATAATGAAGAGCATAATCATCCAAAGCGTATGCTTAACGGACGTGGAATTCTGGAACGATGAGTTGGACAAATTGACAAAGATATTCCTCGGCAACGGCTACCCAAGCGAAATAATACAAAGAAACAAACGGGCCGTGAAAAGCCGATGGCAGAACGGGGAATATGGAAGAACAGTAAGGACGGAGAAGGATCCACAAATATGGATATGCCTACCTTCCTGCAAACTAACTAAAAAACTACGGCCAATATTAAGGAAATGGAATATTTGAGTGGACATGAAAGAAAAAACAACACTTTTAACAAGTCTTTCGACGCAACATAAATAAAGAGACAAATTGGATTGTTCAGGAGTTTACTGTATGCCGTGCGGCCCCTGTGAACAGAAATATATTGGCGAAACAGGGAGAAATATTAGCATACAAATCAAGGAACATCAAAGGCTCTACAGGAAAATGGATACCGAAAGATCAGAATTAGCGGAACACATCGCACAGACAGGACACGAAATCAATTGGAAGGTAACACAAAGAAGGGCCTCATACGGTGAAAATAAAAGGAAGCGGAAGATTAGGGAGTCCAGTGACATACTTGGGGAAAAAAAACTAAAGAACAGAAGATTGGAGGAAGGTAGAATTAGCGATAACTTTGCCTACTGTTTAAGCAGACTAGAAGAAAACAAGAATATAGCAATACCAGCAAAAAGGAGACGCCTGGATCAAGGATCTATCCATAACCGTAGGGAAATTGGATCGCGATGAGAAAAAGGGGGGTCGGGGATTTTCGGCAATCAAGCGAAGGCTACGTCAGTGATTGGTGTCTGCTCCAATAAACCGGTACACCTTTGGGTGCCTAGGCAGACGGATAAGCAAACCGTCACAGAAATTCGGCGTTATGCCCAAAATGTACTAGAAATCCACTTGAGATGCCGCGTATGAACAGAGATAGGCGTACATAGTTTGCTCAGGTAACACGGATTAAATCAAGGAGACGACCCGTGAGGGCAATGCCTGAGATCTGCATGCATGGAAATCAGAGTCTAGGCGCTCTGTTCGGTGAAGCGGCACTGTACATGCTTTTAGGACCTTGAGAAATAGCGTCTGAAGTGAAACGCACACCGGGACTGGAACCGAGTGAAATCGGTCAACCAGAAAGATAAGGAACGGATCTGCGGGACCATGAGGGAGATTCGGATAGAAGGCCCGACTCGGATTAGCCGATCGAAAGAGGGGTGGGTCGGGTGAATAGATAGGTGTGATGAGGCCACCCTAAATTTGCCAAAAAGGGCACACATTTTGTCGATTGGATAGTAAACAAGTCAGAAGTTGTGATAGGGCGTGAGTCGGATAAGAGGGTAAAGAGTTGATAGATGGGGCAGGACATAAAGAAGAGTGATGGTTTAACCGTTTTCACCAGAACGTTGGTCGAGGGATTGACTTCACTTGTCTCTTTGATGAGTTCGTAGCTTGGTGCGAAGAATGGTAAAACTAACTGATGATGCCGACTACGATGCCGGCGAAATGTCTGTGAATGTATAAAGTCCACGGTCTGATGCTGGGAATTATGATTACTACTATGACAGAGAAACTAGGAATAGGTACGTTCTACTAAGTTGTCCTGACAACAAGACCAAGTTGCGACAACAAGGTCAACCCACTTCTATATTCTTTACACTGTATTTCCTTTTAAAAAAGGCTTGAGTTATTTATCACTCCTGGAAAATCCTGTCTTGTCTTCAAATAATTTTGTCAACCTCACGATATTCGCATTATTCTATTGAGAAATATCTCTAATCTAAAAATGATTTAATCTAATGAAATGTTTGTATATGCACTCATAATTTTTGTAAAAACGTGCTGCAGTTTTATCGGGTCATATTTTATTTATGTTTGGAATGGAAGCTAATTTTTGTACATACTTAGAAATCTCAATATATAAGAAGTATGAGAATGAGGCTAAATTATGACTGGATTCAGCATTCATGATAGATTCAGTTCCAAATGAATTTAAATTCTAGCTTGTAATACTAGCGTAGTAAATTTATTTATGTCAAAATAAAGAACTCTTGCACTTTTTATATTTTAAAAGTTGGCTTGACTAACAAGGAACCCAAAGTAGATGATATGAGAAGAAAAACCAGTGCAAGACAGAATAGTATGCAGATGAAAATATGAATTTCTATATCAAACGAATATATTTCGAAACTTTCTTTGTGCATGAAATAAGAACTTGTGTAAAGACACGTGGGACAATGACTGATATCTAAATTTACCACACTAAAATGGGTAGGCCTCACTAGGTCATTCAATTACACATAGGTCTGCCCCTCAGAAAGCTTTCTTACCTCAGTTCGGCCCCTCATAAGTCTCAATGACATCTCAAATGAAATTCGAGCCAAGGTTATGCACGTCAAGCGACAATATCATCACCTGCCACAAATGCCGAAGTTTTATTCCGTCATATAGCAGATGTTACTTACAAGACAAACTTGGCCTCTCTCAACCTAAATTTATAGTCGAAATGATACCAAAAACCAAACTTTTATTTGCCATTATAATGGACGACCTTCCTATACACAGAGTCAATAGGCTTCTATGCAATAAGTAAATCTTTAATAAGAACTTGAGTCACTCCGCGTAGTTTAAGGTGATGTAAGGGTAGATAAAAGAATTCTCCACAATAAAATGGGGCGAGGTGAAAACTGTGGTCTACCCTGGATGAGATAGCCTTATTGAAGTAAAAAGTATTTGAGATTATTGGCATAGTGGAACATTTAAGAAGTATTGAATCACCTGTCTTAAACGAAATATGGTGAATACAGGTCTCCTATCAGATCTATTATTAGTCTCACAAAGCTACCTATGAAATGAAAAATATGCGTGTAGTCGATTGCGATAGAAAATACAACTTTGCTTTGTCTACCACCGAACTACATAAATGTGATATGAGAAAGCCCAGGCTTCCACGGAATTCGCTCCTGCCCTGTGACCAAAAGTTACATATGGAAGTGTGGCGTCGTCGTTAATGTGTCAAAAGTGTACCAGCATGGTTCGAGTCCAACTGAAAAACTGATGAGACCTAGGCGAGGTCGAAACTGCAATCCAGTTTAGACTGGATGAGAAAACATTTCGGCAAGCAAGGGTTGGAGAAATTCTATGGTATAGCAAGGCCTACTTATATAATTGCGGAAAAATTCAACTATCAGTCCTTCATAACCTTAAAGGGAATAGGGTGAATACAGCTCTTATAGCAAGGCTTACCCATTCAATTGTGAGAAATTCACCGATTAGTCTTAGCATTGCTTTAAAAATCGTGGACTAAATCAGGCGAATATTTAAGCAATGATAAAATTAATGTGGAATAATGGTACGGTATTCTATGGTGTAATGTGTATATTTAAGCAATTATAAAATTAATGTGGGATAATAGTATGGTATTCTAAGTTTTAATGATAGACGCTAATAATAATAAAGTTAATTTTCTTATAAGGAAGTAAGTATATCCCAAAGAAACTAGCATACGAGTTAGAATTAAGTTACAATGGACTAGCTGAAGTTAATGTTAGCCTTTTGACCTCTAGGGAAATATTAATACTCAGCCACAGTGCTTGTTATTAGTACGCCAGCTAAAAGCATACCCGACTGAGTGAAGTTGGGTAGGCTGATAATAGGAGGAGGATTGAGTC